GGGGAGAACATGGAGACTCCACGCAGAAAGATCCCGGGTGTCCTCACCGGGACGCGAACCGGCGACCTTCTAGCTGTGAGGCAACAGTGCTAACCACCGACCCACCTTGCAGCCCCAGAATCAGAAGTTGTGCAGTTTAAAAATGAGGCCATGTTAGTGTGGATGTGAGCTGGTGTTTGTACCTGCAGTCCTCTGGTGGACAGATTCCCCACAGACACCACCAACGTCAGGAAGCCCAGAAGAACCACAGCGATCTCCCCACACTGCTGCCATGACCACAGCCTCATCCTGGAAGGAAGAACGGAAAGGAAGGAAAGATGGTGGTGAATGATCAGAAACCAGAAACACATCCAGGGCACCAGTGATTGTTTCTATGACTCTCACTGTGGTACATCCCATAATACTGATGCTCACAGTTAGAATAAATGAACAAAACACAGATCTAGCCTTCAGACTGTGACACCTGGATGGATGTCGTCTCTTTCTCCTGTTCTGATGAAACGACATGTCTGGAATTACTCAGACGCTCTCCTAAACAATTCAAAACTCGTCCCAAGTGTCTCAAAATTTGTCCTAAATGATAAAAACCTTCTCAAAATGCCCCAAAACTCGTCCAAAACTATTCAAAACTTGCCGAAAACATCCAAAATTACTCGAAACTCGTCCAAAACGTCTGAAACTTGTGACATTTTACGACTTCATACAGATGAACCTGTTAACGCTGACGTGTAAAGGAACAGAAACCGTTCATCTTCATACATCATCCGACAGACCTGAAACCTGTCTGAGTTTCTGTCACAGATGAGTCTTTAACAAAGACCGAAGGGAAACATGTCGACCGCTAATGAGATCTTGCGGTTGGGCTCTTTGAGGATCGAAGCTCATTGGCGAGACGTGCGGGTGTTTTTTCACATCTTTCCTTCTCCACATTCAGGCCTCTCAGCTTCCAAACCCACAGAAGGGCCTGAAGTTGCTCTTTTTTTTCTTCTTCTTCTTTTTTTTTTTTTACGCCATGAGAGCACATTTGCGGTCGTAATATTTCCTTTCCGACTCTGCAGTGAAATCCGCCGCCTCCGAGAACATCTGTGGTTATTTAGCGGGGATACCTGAAGTGCTGCTGCTGGCTTTTACCTCCGCAGAGAGAGTTTTAGGACTGATCCCAGATTCAAGTAGCAATTACTGAAAGCAAAAAGACAACGGGCATAAACCCAACATTTAAAAGGTTCAAAAACTGCAACGACTGATGGGGCGCTTTAAAAAAAATCGACAAAATCACACCATTTATTGGAGACAGAAGCCGTAAAAGCAGAAAGAATTGTCAGTTTTAACCAAATCTGAGCTTCAAGTCATGACATTTCATCAAAATCGTTTCATTCTACATGCCTTGTTCAAAAATGTGCCAAAAATACACCGTTTGGATTAAACAGGTCTTGCAAAAAACGCCCGGCCACCAGAGTTTTTAGGTTTCAAAGCAGTGAAAAGAGGAGCGAGTTGTTGGAAGATACTTTCAGCATGGTGAAACATCTGCTGGAAACAGTTAAAGATCGGTCGCATGTGGAGACCACTTCCTGTGGACAGAACGATATGGTGGAGAATGCGGGCATCGATCCCGCTACCTCTCGCATGCTAAGCGAGCGCTCTACCACTTGAGCTAATTCCCCTCATGGCAGCACCAGTTTTCTCCAATAGTGGAAACAAAACTTTCAAAAAACCCACAACAACAACAACAAGACTCAAAACGACAAAAGGTGCAAAAAAACAGATATTTCCAATTTTTGTCGACTGAATGACCAAAATTTGCTGAAATAAATCCCAAATTTAAACAAAATTTCTAGGATTTTGTCCAAACCTGCTTCCATTTTTAAAAAATGACTCAACATTTGTAGGAAATGATTCAACAATTGCCTAAAATCAATGGGGAATTAAGATGTGTTTTGGTTTTTTTATTTTTTTTATCTCATCTATGACATTATATCTTCCTTATACCGCACATAATACATGTTTGAGTTCTCTCTCCTTCTTCATGGTGTTCTGTTTCTACACAGAGCTGCAGGACTTTATAAAGCAGTGAAAAATGAGAAAAAATGTTTCAAAAACTCATCCAGACACTGCTGAAAGATCAGAGGATTAAGTTTGAAGCTTGCATCAGGCTAACGTAGGATAAGGACTAAAACAAGCCGGCTTCTATCCAAGACAGCTTTCCAGTAAGTCCACAAGTGTTTGTTGGTGATTCCACTGGTTGTTTTCATGCTTCTTACTCAAACAGCATCTCACATAACAGAGTTGATAAAGTTGCTGCCTGACTAAAAGTTTGTCCAACATGAACCACAAAAGTGACCAGAGTTACTAAAAGCTTTTCCGAAAAGACTCACGACTTAAAATATCACCAAAATATTTTTAAAAGTTGTCCAAATGGCTCACAAATTGTCCAAAATGATTCACAATCTCACTTAAATCACTAAATGTTTGTTCAAAAGGACTCAAATTATGACAATAAATGGCTCAAAAATCGTCTGACGTGACCAAATCTGACCAAAACGACTCTACGTATGTCTAAAACCACTCAGAATTGTCCAAATAAATCTAAGAATTTTTTCTTGTTTTATGATTTATGGCATGAAATGACTTAAAAGTTTTCAAAACGACTCACAATTTGTCCAAAATCACAAAATGATTGTTCTAAAGCAGCGGTCTTCAACCTTTTTTGCATCACGGACCAGTTTTAAGCAAGAAATCTTTCTACGGACCGGTCATTACGCACATAACAAATAATAATTGTTTTTCTTTCTATTGAAAAGTTTCATAAATGAATAAAATTAATTTTTATTGCTTAACATGTTTACTTTTTCTTCTGTCTCAGTATTAAGTCTCTCCCACTTTCCAAAGCAGCTCTCCTGAGATGTTTGTTGTTGACTGACGGCTTCGTTTAGCAGCCGGCCATAAAAACTGACAGTCAAGTGACGGGAAGACGAGCTAGTCATGTTTCAAAATAAAACGCCCTGCAGACTCCCCTGGAAATAAAAATAAACCAATAAAATGTTTTTATTCTGTCTGTGCGGCCCGGTACCAAATGACCCACGGCCCGGTACCGGTCCGCGGCACGGTGGTTGGGGACCGCTGTTCTAAAGGACTAAAATTTTTAACAAAAGAGATTTACAATTTGGCTAAAATCACAAAATGGTTTTTCAAAGGACTCAAGTTATGACAACAAATGGCTCAATATTTGTCTTAAATGACTGACGTGACTCTAAATGTGACCAAAATGACTCTACATACGTCTAAAATCACTCTTTTTTTATGATTGATTACTTTAAATGACTTAACAGTTTTCAAAATGACTCACAATTTGACCAAAATTACTCAAATATTTTTTATTTTTTTATAATGTCTTTCTACTACATAGAACCCATCTCTAAGTTCTCTCTCCTTCTTCATGCTTGTTCTGTTTCCATAGAGGTGCAGGACTTTATATTAAATGAACCATAGGGAGGAAACATGGTCCGTTCTGTCCAGAACAGCTCTCTGGTTCCTTTGTTTGTTGGTGATTCCTCGGGCTGTTTTCATGCTCCCTGCTTCTTCTTCTTCTGTCTCAGCTGCACTCACGTGAACCTGACTTCCATCCAGCCCTAATGACTCCAGAGCCGTGTCTCGTGAAGCTGAAGGATGTTCTGATGGCAGCGTCAGGTGCTCAGCTCGGCGTGCTGTCAGTCTGTTTTTTTCTTTTTCCCACAGGTGGCTGGATGTGCTGGCAGGTGGAGGGCGACGCCGACGGGCTGCTGAGAGGCCTCAGGCGTCGGAGACGGGAGTTGGACGCTCCGGAGGCCCACGTTAAAGCTAAACAGCGAGCTGGACGCGGCGAGGTAAGTTTCCAGGGACTCTGCACAGGTCCGCCTTTGTTTGGCGCCGCAGACGGTGAGGAAACGTACAAGTCTGGATGTAAAGGCTAACGTGAGCGGGAGGAGGGAGGCCGAGGACTCTGCAGACGGTTTAATGACTCAGACGTGTTGAAGGAGTGCAGCTGCTCCTCAGCAGCATCCAGCTTTCCTCTGTTGCTTTATATGTGGCAAACGCACGCACGGCTTGAACTCGCTGTTCGCCGTCCGTCTTTATCGCACAGAACGTACCGTTTCACAGCAGGAAGTCCAGCAGATGTGCCGCAAAGTCTGTCAGACGCCGAGGATTGATTGTTTAGGCCCTGGTTTAGACAAGCTTTAGTTAAACTGTGTGTTTTGTAGATTTTAGAGGCTACCAAGTGTACAAGTGGACGGTTTACTGAGCTGCTGTTATCTGTCAAGTGTCTTGGAGGGTTTTGGTGCCACAGGTGGTCCTGAACAGTGGTTCTTCTCAGTGTTTTTTAAGTGGAATATTGCTTTAATGTGTAAAAGGGAGTTACTCTGAAAACAAACGCTGCTGTAGAGTTCTCTCAACGTTGACAGATTTTAGCCCAAAAAGGATCCGAATGCTTCAAGAATCGTTTAACCCTCTGAGCTCGTCAGTAACTAGAAAATTATACACAACAACAGTTACATAAATCTATCAAAACCTGGATATTTACGCATTTAACTGTTAAAAACGCTTGTAGAGTGCTGATAGTTTTAAGCCAAAACAGGATCCTAATGCCTAAAGAGTGACTGAACCGTCCAAACATGTCAATAACCTGGAAAGTAATGCACAAAACTATCAAAACCTGGATATTTATCAAAAAAGAACTGTTAAAAACCTGCATATTAACGAAAAAAAACTCTTCTAAACCTGGATATAAACATACAAAAGTGTCCAAAACCTCAATATTATCACACAAAACTATCAAAACTGAGATATTTATGCACAAAACTGTCAAATCCCTGGATGTTAACACATAAAACTGTTAGAAACCTGCATATTAACACACAAAAGTGTCAATACCCTAATTATTAACACACTTAAGTGACAAACACGTTTGTAGAGTGCTGGTAGTTTTTAACCAAAACAGGATCCTAATGCCTAAAGAGTGATTGAACTGTGCAGACATGTCAGTTACCTCAATATTAATGCACGAAACTATCAAAACCTGGATATTTACATTTTAAAAAATAGCTAAAAACCTGCATATTTACGCACAAACTCAGAAAAAACCTGGATATAAACATACAAAAGTGTCCAAAACCTTAATATTATCACATAAACTATCAAAACTGAGATATTTATGCAGAAAACTGTCAAATCCCTGGATGTTAGCACATAAATCAGGATCCTAATGCCTAAGGAGTGATTGAACCGTCCAAACAACCTGGATATTAATGCACGA